CAGTGAACTTCACCATCCTTATCCGTATCAATCTCCCAGTAGGTTCTACAAAAAAGAACATGCACACATGCAGCCTGTATGGAAGTAATAAGACACGATGACTTCACTAAAGGAGAAGCCTGTGGGCCTCACCAACAGGAGAGTCCTCTCACCATTTCAGTGTGACAGGAACACTAGGAAAATAATCAAACATTTTTAATAGGAATACTTTCCAGCAGTGTATCAACCTTGATTAGATTACACCAGTGGTATGACCCTGCACACAGCAATGGTGTGTGAAGACCACCCCTCATGGTACAGTGACCAGTTCTTGTTGTCACAAAGAGGTTGGTCTAACTGCTAGATCAGGGTTCCTTAACTTGCGGAGTCTGATTGGCAGCACAGGCGACTGTCATCCTACACCTTAGAGCACTCGAGTCACCTCAAACCTCTGCGTCAGGGACAGATTTAATTTCTCAGGCTGTATACTTGTGAATCACCTAAAAGTAGGCTAACACAGTCCTTCCCTTGACATGTGTTTCTTCTGTCCTCACAAACTTTGCCGAACGCCTCCAGGAGGCCAAGGGATAAGGTCTCACACACATCGTGGTTCTGCTTTACCACAACATTCCAGTTCTCTTGTATCATTATTTGACAGACACCTTGAAGAGGTGTCCCAGAAGGCTGAGCTACAAATCAGTCCTGATTGCAGGAAGGGGATCATGGTAATGTATTCCATCTCTTCTGGTAGTTTACAAATGAAGTGAGTTTCTTTCCAAGGGAAGACTACCACTCTCTTGGTTTTTAGAACTATAAACTAACACCACAGAACTCTCATCTGATACTGTTAAGAATTTTTTCTGTTGCACAATCTATTTTCACACTCTAGGTCCCTGAAAGTCAAGGCCACAAGTGAAGCCTTACAGACTTCTCACCATTTACATGTATCTTGAAAATCAAGTATACAACCATGGCTCATTTTCCTGGGAGATTCTCCTGGTAAGATTCTCTCAAGAAATAAACTATATTGGACAACATTATTCTAATTTTAGTTTTTCACTACAATGTCAAGTACATTTGAGCTAAGCAATTCTACAGAAACAGGTCTTCTAATAGCCAAGTTGATCTCATTCTAAGGTAAACTTCTAAAATAGGTCAAATGAATAGATATTGTTGCTTACTCATATCAACATGAGTAAGATCTGCCACGCATTTTTTCTCTGAACCTTTCCCCAGGGAAAGAAGTATGAACAATGGAGTATTGCAGTGGACAGTTTTTGGCTTTATCAGAAAGAGCCTCTCTGCTCTCTGGAGCCTCAAACTGCATTTACATGAAAAATAGTTGTATTGTCTCTTTTTTCTTTTTCCTATTTCTAACTAGTAACTCAGGGGTCACATCTGTACAAAGCTCAGAAAAACACAGTGCAGAAAAACAAAAATAGCTGTACCAGTCAAACAAATATAACATCTCCAACAAAAGATGTGTATGGAAAGGTTTAAGAAGATAAACAAACAGCAGCAGCTCCTGAGAATGTTTTCCCAGAACTGCAGTCTGCACCTCAACTTCCTGAAATGTAGGAGACGCCTTGGTACATAACAGCGCTTAGACTATTTTTATTTCTTTACTTCATTCAGTTGTCTTTGAATCTATATAGATTTTTAGCATCCAGAATATCTCAGAAAAAGACTCACGAAAATAAGAGACATGTACAAATTCCCATAGCTCTTGATGCATCGACTGAGAGACAGAACATGTTAACACCATTCACAACACAAGGAAAATAAAGTGATTCTACCTCCAGAACGGAGCTTGTCATTCCACACAGCACTGTACTACTCTGCATAGACATGACAACTCCAGCACGCAGAAGCTGGGTGGCTGGATCTCAGTTTCTTCATCTAGCTATGCATGTACAAAATATTTTGTTTGCTGTTGGTTTTTTTTTTCTTAAACAGCTTTTGGTTTTGACAGTTTCAGATTCCACAGTAGCTCATTTTTAATTTGCAACAATGGTGTGGCTTTTATGTATTCTGAATTAAGAGTTATAATGTTCAGGAAAAGTACATTGCTCAATAATAACTGTGATCTGACTGTTGAGCCTTATGTAAACTAACAGGAGCTTTGGGATTTGGCCTGACAGTGAATCTGCAAGGCGCTAAGCAAAAAAGCTCCAAACAGTATTAACCATGGAAACTGTAGTAATAACTTGTACTGGAAAAGCAATGTAGCCTGGTAATTTTAAATAAAGATAATATCAGAGAGGGAGCTACAGAAAGAGCCAAGGGAAAACACAGTTACATTCTAGATCAATCTCATTCAGTCTACAACATTTTACAGTAACTCTTTCCATTAATTCACAGCTGGGAACACAGTAAGGTAGAAACTGTCTAGCTGAATCAAATCAAAGATTATTCTAGTCAAGTATATGACTACAACTGTGGCAACAGCAGATGCCTACAGAAAAGTATAACAATAGGGCAACCGTAAAGACTCCTCCAGTGGTGTTTCGAGACTTCAGCATCTTGGAGCTCCAGAACTTTCAGACAAGCAGCAGTGTCTGTTTGACACACTCCATGGATTTTTATTCCATCAACTTTCTAATAAATTTTCAGATCGTTTAAATCCTGTGGCAAGAGTGTTCAAATTGTAATCATGTAATAGGAAGAATGAGCCCTTTCTATCCTTTTTGAACTTTCTATCAGATAGGTTTGATGCTCTACTTCGCGCACTGAAAAGGAGAGTAAAATAAATAAATAAATCCCTATTAATCTTCTCTGTTCCACTCATGATTGTATACAGCACAGAGCAGGACATACTCCCTCTCAGTTGTGCCTTTTTCAAATTGAAGTCCACACTGTCAGCCCTTAACTGGAAGATGCCCAATGCTCTTAATCACTCCTGACACTTCCTCTGAAACTTTTCCAGTACTACTAGATCCACTAGATGCGGGAGCCGGAAACGTATACGTAATTCAAGATGTAGCACAATATGGTTTCATTAACAATAGTAGCACTAAGATGCTTTTGCTTTGTTCCCTATTCTCTTCCTAGTCATTCCTAAATTCCATTTGTTTATTCAACTAGTACTTAAGAGTAAGTGTATGTTTTCATTGACCTGTAATTCCAAGATCACTTACCTGAACAGTAATAGCTACTTCAGGGTCCATGAAATCATAGAATGGTTTGGGTTGGAAGGGACCTCAAAGATCATCTAGTTCCAACCCCCCTGCTATGGGCAGGGAAACCCTCCACTACACCAGGTTGCTCAACACCTCATCCAACTTGGCCTTGAACACTTCCAGGGATGGGGCATCTACAACTTCTCTGGGCAACCTGTTCCAGTGCCTCACCACCCTCTGAGTGAAAAATTTCTTCCTTATATCTAATCTAAATCTACCCTCAACATAACATTTGCTTTGTTTTTCCTCTTCATCTGCATGACTTTACTAATTTCTCTAAATTTTACATGCCACTTTATGATTCAGTCCCTCAACATTGCAAAGTCCTTTGAACATTTTTGTAGCCTGCTCTCCATCTTCTACCACAAATAACTTAGCATCATCAGCAAATATTGTTATTTTAACTCCTCTCTTTTGTTATATATCTACCTCCCATTTTTAACAAAACAAAATTTGAGACAGAAACAGTAAGTAAAGTAAAAGTTTCATAATTCTATATCCTGTTACTTACACATTTTAAATGTGACAGTTGAAGTGAAACTCTACTTCTTTCAGTACTTAGAAAGCTGGATAATTACAAAATAAACCAAACCCTCTGCCACGACTAAAATGTTACATACATGTGAGAGCAACATGTCAACCAATAAAGCACAATATTGAAATTCTGAGCCTCTCACAGCAACAGCTGCCTTTAAAAGCCGTACTTGTTTATGGCACTGAAAGAACAGAAACTTGAAGTACACAATGAAAAAGAACCTAAACTGACAGAATTGAGGGTTGAGGACTGAAATAGTGATGCGAAAGATACCACTGGGGAAAAAAAAAAACAAACCACAAAACAAACAAACAGTGAAATGCACATCTATCTGGAGAGTTTAATTCATTTATTTATTAACTGGCTTCCACGCATACACAGAAAATCTGCTATTTCTTTCAACTGTTACTATGGAAGAGAAAAAAAACAAGAGGCTAAATGATTAGAAGCTCCAGCAACACGCTGTTTCCTCAACATTATGAGGGCTGTGTTCTAGACTGAAGGTATTGGATTTTAGACTGGTGAACTTTCTCTAATGCAGGTAACTAGCTCTGAATGCAATAAACATGTACAACTGCCTTCATTTGCACACTAACGTTCTGAAATAAAGTTAAACATCCTCTGGTAAATCAGGTAGGCTGACACACCTTCTTGGCCATGACTATTCCCAAATCTTTGCTTATAGGTCAGTGGTATTTACCTCAAAGCTCTACTAAGCGGCCTGCTGAGAGCATAAGAGCTCTTTTCTAGGTTTGCAGACCACAAACTGCACACTGGAACAAGTGGCTTCGAAAAAAAAAACAACCCAAACAAGCACAACAGCAGAGAATTCTACTGGTCTGAGTGGCTTTTCCAGCGTGCTACAAAAACATGGCAGTGCGGCTAAGAGAAGCTCATTTTCTAACAGAAGTGTTGTATGCTCCCCTTTCTGTACATAATTACAGACAAGCCACTGACATAATGAACACTTCTCGTGAGTCAAATTAAATTATCAATATATGTGAACGTACCTTTTCACCAGGAAGACCAGCAACACCCTCTTGTCCTTTCGCACCCATTTCACCCTACAAAACAAATTGTTCAGTTAGAAGTTCTAAAGACTTCTGAGGTTAACAAGAACTCAGGTCATATCTGATTCAACAGAAAAAGCATCTTCTACCCTGTTTTTGCCTTGCTTAGTAATGTAACTACTGTGGAGGAGGATGCCTTAAACGTAACACTAAAATCAGACAAAATAAATACATTTTAGAACACCTATAACATCAGTTAAGACCCTCATCTGAAACACTTCCACATGCATGTTTCCATAAAAAGCAGGTCTGCTGATTTTAAGAGAATTAACTGCAACAGCAGAGGGAAGCCAAGCGGGTCCTTTTCACAGGCTGTGTGTGTTCCACGCTGAAAAAAGCTCAACATGTACTACAAGTATCTTTGGTTTAAAAGTCATGTGTCCACAATATTTTTAAAAGACACTTTTAAACTCAGTTCCTTTCTCCATCCCTAAGCCATAAGCAATCTATAAGAAAATTTTAGTTTTAAGAGACAAATAACTGACTGATCAAGAGCGGTATGGAAGATCTCAGCAGCTGCAAATTGGACCAAGAGTCTTAAAAATAATTGAAGAAAACATCAAACACATAAATTTTGCTTAATAATGTCAAGTATAAGGGTTACAAAGTCTTAAAAAAAAATGAGTGGACACTAGAGGAATATAATGAAAGCACTGAAACCATATTACAGTCTTCATATAAAAACAAAACAAAACATTAGGTTTGTCTACTTGTACCAAGAAGAGAACACTAACAAACAGAAAATATCACAGTCCTTCTTGGAGTAAACCATTTTTTTTGAAGAAAATGTCACTGGTTTGAAAAGAATTAACTATTAAATTGTTTTTCAAGAGAAAGGGTTGCACAAGGAAGCAGAAGAGCCACATTTACATAAATAATTGGTTTCTAAAATAGGTTGTAAACCTAAGTTTTGAGCCTAAATCTAAAATTGCAAACCCAAAAGCCACTGCTGAGGAATTAGTGACCAAGAGTTCTAAACTCACAAAGTGCATAACTTTTTAAATAGCAGGATCTTGGAAACTCATAATTCTGATATTCAGCACATCCAGAAACTTCTCAGCATTAGGCGAAGTTCATCAGTTTAGTCAATAAACCACTCTGCAGTAACAAATGCCAGTTCCTCATGATCTGCCCAAATGGGAAACACACACAGTACTGCAGTGACTTCTTTTTCTTCTGTTACATATAGGACAGGAGATGCTTAACTCAACAGGGTAGCTCAAAGGTTTTGTCTAGGCTACAGAATGTACACGTTCTGTGCCCTCTGTAGCCTACGAGTGCTTCCAGCCTGTATCCCAGCTTGCCTGGACTGCTGATGCCTGCCAGCACACTGTTGGTCATGGGATCTAAAATCGTTTCAAAGTTCACAAAAGGAACAGTAGGAACCGCACATGTGAACTGCATCCCAGCAGCTTGATCTCCCTCCTGAGAGCAAGGAGACCAGGTTCCTATCCTGAGGATCGTTCCAATGTTTCATGTGATACTGTCCCTGTGTCAGGTGCACGACCATTTCTTAAATTACAATCTAAGTCTCTCCATCAGCTTTAAACTGATTTTAATTAATGCAGTTATGGTACAGAACTCCTTTGTTTATAACACGTGAGCCAAGCAAACCAATCAAAATGAGCAACTCCTAGGTGCAGAGCACCATTCCAGCCGTAAGTTTAAATCGCTGCTCAGAAGCAGCAATGTTCTGGAGGAGTGTATGAGCCATCTCCTACGTTCTTTCTATTCAAATATTGGCATGGTCCTGTTAGCTATGTTTCAAAAGCAGACCAAAATCCTGCGTGTGTGAATAGCATGAATCCATTGCCACTATGCGAGAGAAAGCAGCAGGCTGGCCCTTGGTTACCTTATCTAATCACCACAGAATGACTCTCTTATCTACGCACACTCTGTTCCCTTATGCCACTTGCCAGTATTTTAATAGACCAGAACGACATTGTTACATTCAGGAGTGTATTTTTATATACTGTACAGTCTAAAATTACACTGTCTTCTACATGCCAGGAAGCCTTTAGCATGTATGACACAGTAGCCAGTTAACCGAGGTATGTTTACACTTCTGTTCCACTAACCACAGACAGACTCCCCACCTTGAAGATGTCTACTGCAAATCATATCATGAAGTTATGCTTCATGATTTGTAATTGTGATTTTATTAACCACAGTCTGAAAGATTCTAGCTTTTCATGCTTTTATTCAATGAGTTTAGAGATCAGATATTATATATTGTACAACCCGTAGTAGTATTCACATGGGTAGTATGACAGAATAAAAAGGGAAAAACAATTTGCAAATGCATTTTTAAAAGGGGTTTTGCCAACTTTTTTGTCATAATGATATTTTCCTTTGCTTCTGCAGAACTCAAAGTCCTTTACAAAACTGAACACACATCCTCTTCTCTTTCTTACACAGTAGATGCCAAAAGTATATAATGAGATGAAGACAGACCATCAGGCCTGTATCTGCCCCATCTCTTTCACACGTTTACAAGAGTATTCTAATTCCCAACACACACTGCAATTGAGCTTTTTAAGTTTATGGAACTAAATTAATAAGAATGAGAAAAAAGAATCGCATTTGCTTAGAACTACCAAAGCCAACAGAAATATATGCTGCCAGAAGAACAGTTTTGTAAGCTGGTGAACACTAGTAGAACAATGCTGGCATTTATAAGTTATGAGGTACACTCAGTGTAACAACATTTAAAGGTAGTACTGTGAGCTTTAAGTCTACTGTTAGGATTTTCTGCTAAGGATATCAGTGAAAATCCTTTTCTACTGAGCACAAGATACTTACTGAATAAAATATTTAAGTCATAGCACATTTTTCAGAAGGAGATGTCTTGCAAGCAATAGGATGGCTACTATATTTTTGACAATGTTTATTTTGGTAAAGACATAATCAGACAGGGTGAAAATTCACCAGGATGAAATTTTTTTCGGAAAAAAAAAAGCTTTTGCAACCTTCTGTAAAGCCAAGTGTCCTGGTTTCAGCTGAGATAGAATTAATTCTTCTTTTTAGCTCTGCCTCAGCTGAAACCGGGACACCAAGCCAAAATAAATTCTTAAAAAGAGACTGCAGACAGCAAACATGCTTCTTTTGAATGATACCAATCAGCCTTCTATCTGAAGTGGAAACAATTTTGCACATCTGAGACCACGTGCAGTATTACACTTGTAATCTTTTTTTTACATTAATGATTCAGAGAGTTCCAAAAGCACTTGACCTTTACCTCTTTGCACCACTTAGCCTTTATTCGATGCACTTGTAGAAGTAGAAATTGTATGCTAGTAGCAAACATGAAATACAGTGCTTTCATTCCTCCACCACATATTACTATTGAAAAATCTTGTACAGCAAGGATAACCTAAAACCAAATGTGGTGATAGAATGACAAAGCAGTAATTATTGAATTTAACAAATTACAGTCCTTTCTCATATAAAACTAAAAAACTTTCTTTTAAGAAAGTATTTTAAACACATTATTTTGTCAAATTGCAAATTTATTTAAAATATTTACATATGGAGTGTGATTAACTTGACACATTAATCTAGAAAACAAAGCCTACAAGAAATATTGAGAGGAGGAAAATATTCTCAGCAGGGTTCTGTACTAACCAGGTACAGTGATGCTTTTAATACCAAAATAAAAGCAAGTGCTCTTAATAAATAGAAAAAATGACATTAACGTGGCCTAGAGCACACACGGCTAGAGTATGACATTACAACATTGCTCTTGTCTACAATGGGGACATACTAGCTCAGCTAAAATGAGTAACCTACATCAATTTTCAAAACAATCCTTAACAAAATCAATTTCGGTTTTGTAAGATTTCAGGAAGTAAATTAGCTTTCTTAGTTTTCACCTCTGCATAATTATGTGTGCCACTAGCATCAGAAACATCCAGGTGAGAAAGACGTGTATTATTATCAAGAATGAAATACCAGCACACTGCATTGAGCTGCTCTCAGCAGGCAGGGCACTGCCAGGGTTTCCAAAAGGGATAAAGTGGAAGGTGAAACAGATAACGTAGAAAACGCACCCTCCATATTAGATCTGTCATCTGTATGACTAATGTCAGAGGCAGCCCCTGTAAGAAATTACGTAAGCTAAAATTTAAAACTTAGATGTACAGACAGGTAAACAGTTCTTATGATTATAAAATGGTGACAGAAGTATTTAGACCTTTGAAAAAGAAACCCAACTGATGAGGAACTGTTAGCTGATGAATACAATAAACTCAAATGCGGAGAATTTGCCAAGAGTGAGAAAGAAAACTCATCCTAAAGGCATCACCACTCCAGGGTTTCCTTGGCATTGGGGGAGAAGCAAGGAGTATGTAGCTTGGAAAGTATCATCCCTGTTATTGCCAGTAGAAGCCCTCAGGCTGACAAAGTGCAGGAGATCAGCTGTGGCCCGAGCTGCGTGTTGCTGGTTTAACCCCTGTGCTGGGGTCAGTGGCTGCCTCCTCCGCTGCTCCAGTTTCAGCTCTGGGGTGGCCCCACTGGAGAGGGGGTGACATCCCCAAACCTCTGAGCACCTCAGAGTGCTGAGGACTCTGACACCCTCTCCATTCCCTCTTGAGGAAACACACAAACTGCCATCCTTAGGACTGAGATGAATACTAGATGGTGAATATGGTAAAATAGAAAAGATGCATATATTTTAGATGTTTTTTTTAAGAAAAACAATTATTACTAATAATGTTTTTCCTTATTAATTTGATAATTTGGACTATCAGGTGGTTAAAACATTAAGTCAGACTACCAATAAATTCTTAGCTCCACAGGTGTGGAGCCTTTTGCCCATTGTAAGATTTTAGTTTACCAAGTACATTGGCAATTCCTGACTTTGTCATCACCGACAGCCAGCCGTATTTTGCCCAAAATTTTTTCTTTTTCATGCGTTCCAGATTCTAGGTCCCTATCAATAACCTCTGCAACAAAAAACGGACCAGAAAGCAACCACTCTCAAGGCTGCATAACATAGTAGATACACTTTAGGGGGAATCAGGTGGACCTGGGTTATAGGAGGAATGAGAGACAAGAAAGAAAGACTAACAAGGAAAATAGCCAGAAACAGCAGTCAAACACCTCATTTGTTCTCCATGAGTTCTTTTTTCTTGTCATTCCATTACAAATATTTTCCTAGTGCAACAATATATTGCATAAATCTATCTCTACCAACCCTAAAATAGTCTTTTGTCTTTTGCCATAAATAAAATTTAAATTAATGAAGCTTACTTGAACGGCAGTAAGTTTCTCCATGGTGTGCACCAATAGATGCTTTAATGTTTGAAAGCACTCTGCCTCTGGCTTTTTGCTCCTTGCTGCACTTATAGCATTAACCAATGACCTACTAACATAGCTTGGCATGGTTTAATATTATATCAAAATATATAATTCTCTTTGGATTTAAACTTAAAATCTTCATGAGCACTAAGTTTGCTTAAAAGAAATAAAAATTAAAAATACAATTACTTTTTCAGCTTCTTTGATAGAGAAAATTATTTGTTTATTCAATATATATGTAATCATTCAATTACTGTGATCCATATTCTGTCCTTCTGAAGAATCTCTACATCTCGAGGACAAAACAGGACCTTCATATCGTGAAGGCATTTGCCAACAATGAATATATTTGTCAGAGTCTGAGTAGCTATATACCACGCTGAAGTAGCAGAAATTGCTTCCAACACGCCAAATTTCTCACTCAGCTCAGCAGAAGAGGAAACCTAGCTCTCCAGAACAGTATCTTCAGACCACTTGAAGCTTGTGAAATATACTGTGCTAAGAATCAAGCTCTGTGAGAGTAACACAGTGTATTATTCAAGGATAACCTATGTTGGACACCTGACTGCTGCTGCCTCTCAACTTTCATCCAATGGGAAAAAGCTATCAGGCAGTCCACAAAGTGTGTTTCAAGGGTAGAGATCAGTAAGCCATAAAGTTGCTCCTGGTGACTTTTTGAGTCTTAATTATTGAGACACTAAAGAACAGGAGATTGTCCCTTCCTGCAGATAGCTGCAAAAGCTCATCTCCCAGCAAATAAAACCCTGCAGAGCAAACATCCATGGATACAAGCTTGCACAGGAAACCAGAAGTACAGAGACTACAGCCCCTGAGGCAGTTTTTGCTACACAGTAAGGGGTGTATGGTACCAAATGGAACAGTCTGGTTATTCAGGAAGGGAGATGGTCTTGAAATTGAGCAGCTTCTTCACCCCCAAAGCACCAGAGATAATACTTCTATTGTTGAGTGAAGAACTGTCCTCATAATGTCCTCACAAAGGCATAATGGAAGGCAGGCATACAAATAGGAAGGCCATTCACACAAATGGAATAACTTTGATCAGTGATGCTCCTGTACATTCAGATGGACAGCTTGCCAGAGATGCATCAGTATCTGCATGGATGCCCGTTCCAGTGAAAATATGGCACTTAAGTCATGTGGGCCCACAATATACTTTGGCTCAGACCCATTCAGAGGTACTAAGACGAGCCAAGAGTATAGGACTGCCAAGAGTACTGCCAAGTGTAACAGGAATGAAGTGGAAACAGGCTAATAACTAAATTCAAAATGCCTAAAAAGGGCTTATCAGGTATCATGCTTTGTACTGGTGACAGCTTAGATTTTCCTGAACAGGCAAAACAGAATCTGATCTTAGGGAACAACTATGTGTCCTGGTTTTGACTGGGACAGAGTTAGTTCTTCTTTTTAGCAGCTAGAAGAGCTCTGTGTTTTGGATTCAGTGTGGGATTTGAGAAGAATGTTGATAGCACACTGATGTTTATAGTTGGCACTGAGACCTCAAGGACTTTTCAGCTTCCCCTGTTTTTTCCAGCATGCAAGAGCACAACAGGCTGGGGGGGAGCACAGCCAGGACAAAGGGCCCGCAACTCCCTCTATGATTTGAACTTAGACTTAGGATTGAGGGCTAAATTGGCCAATGGAGTATTCCATATCATGCAACATCATGTCCCATATATAGATGAGGGTTGACTGGGAATAAGGGCTCTTGCTCTTCTGAGGGCTCTCACTCACAGAGTGCTCTCTCGCTCGTTCTCTTTTGTTTTCAGGCCTCTCACTTGTCTGAGATTGCGATGCCAGGATTTATCTGTTTCAGGATCATTTTCTGGGACGGGACAAGCATCGGTTGACGGGTGGTGAGCAATTACACTGGGCTTCACTTGTTTGTATATATCATTATACATATATATTTGCATATATTATTATTATTATTAAATTGTTCTTATCTCAACCCACAAATCTTCTTCCCTTTTCCCCTTTAATTCTCTTCCCCATTCCGCTGGAGTGGGGGAAGGTGAGCGAGCAGCTGCGTGACGTTTAGTTGCCAGCTTGGCTAAAACACAACACTATATTAGACTGAAAAGAAAGGCAATTTTGGGGGGTCTTGAATATAGCTTAATATCAATTTTTATATGTAGAGACTTTCTTGTCAATCCCACAGCAACAAAAAGACACGTAAATTCACTCATACACTTAACTACAGTGGATGGGAAACTGGAATGAAACAACATAAAATAAAAGGATAAGGAATGTTGTGCTCAACAAGAGATCATATCAATGGATACAGAAATTTCCTAGGAAAGAAGCTAAAAAATTAACATTAACTTGTTTTTACCTGGATGGTACCATGGCAAGGACATTAAATATAGCTGGCTGGATGCTAACAATAATATGATTTGGAAGCAAAAGAAAACAATAAAATGAGGAGCTGAGCACAAGCAAAGTGGGAAACATAGGCTGAAATATCATCAGACTTATAGAAATCCTGGTTTTTTGTAAATGGCCAGCAGTCATCAAGAAGCTGCCTATGTCATGTATAACATATTACAAAACATTCAACCACAGTCTGTTACTCTCCTTTACTTAATTTGGCAATACATCATGCATCCTGCATGTCTGGAATGGTTTGAGGTCTTGCTGCCTCTCCACCTCTAATTATTGATAAAACAAGGCCATCATTGAGAGCAAGTGTTACTGAAAACTTGCATAAATGCAGAGGCAAAGAAAAAAATGGTACTAAAGCCTCAAAGAACGTGGCATTCAACTCCATCATGACAGGCACTATTCAAGGCAGTATTTGTTTGCTCAAAGCTCAACAGTGAGACTATCCTTTTAACCACAGCATTAATGTGCCCTTCACCCATCCCCAAACAAAAACAACAAAAAAAGCCACCACAAAGCTAGGAAGTAGCAAGTACTGGTCAATTATAAGGAAGGTTCAAATCAAGCAGCTTTCTAGCTGTTTGCTGTATCACCTCTGACTTAAACCTGCTGATTCACTGAATTTTGTGAATCAACATTCACAAATGTCAATCTACTATCATTAGGCTAAGCTGCTGGATGCACATAATCCTGCTCAGGCTCTAAATATTCAGTGAAGTATCAGAGTGGCTGGTGATAAACAGATCAAATTTAGACATATAGGTAGTAGGTCACTACAAAAAAAAAATAATCTATTTGTATAAATCTTGACATTTCTATTTCCTGAATCTCAAGCTTAAGAATTTTCAGTTTTACATCTAAATCAAAAATTCTGTACTTTGTAATTACCAACAGAGAGACAAATATCAGAGACAGCCTCATGCAATTTGCTATCAGTGATGCACAAAAGCTGAAAGGGTTCATTGACTGCTGGATGTTTTTTCAATCAATGCGATGAGGGTTTCTTTGTAAAAAGAACAGGCGACTAGAACTGCAGGTGACCACAGGCACCCACATGCTTTATTTAGAGATACTGTGCTTAGCATGGTAAATATTGCTAATTGGCTGTGAGACTGAATGGTAAAAAATTAGACTTCTTAAGTCTCCTTTCTCATCTTAGTAGCAGTAATAGTCTAAATGATGACGTAAGGAGCGGAAGAGCAATTTCCCATCTAAATGCTAGAAAACTCCCTGTGTTGGTAACAGGCTAACCCTAGCATAGACAATCGTTCTATATACTCAGACCTAGGATCAGCAAAAACTCAAAATTACATTTGGAAACTGCCAGCAATCCCTTTAGGTTCAGCTGAGCTATAGAAATTAACATGCTTGAACTTTTTTCCACCTAGGAAAAAGACACAGCTAGTATCAAAAGTGAAATAAATATATGTCAGAGGGGAGGAGCTGGGGGGGATGCGGAAGACACTATCAAGGAATTTACTTAATTTCAACCAATTGTGAATAAACCTTCTTAGAACTGGACTCATTTCAGTCAGGTACTGCAGTCCTAGGAACAGTGCTGGTTCCTCCCATCAAATTTAGGGAATGGAGCATGAAGGGAAAACATCTGATACACTGACTTTCATTACATCAAGAAACTTCCAAGCTAAGTAACACAGCAATGTCATGGTAAGCATTACAGGATAAGTCCAAGGAAAGAAGCTTGGTCCTAGGACTGGTCCGTCCTAGGGGCTTGCCAATATCTTGCCCTCTCTCTTCACAATTCAGAAAGTTTCAGGTAAGAGCAATGTCAAAGAATATACAGTGCTGAGGTCATACGAGCGAATTCATACCCTCCTGCTGACGACTGCAAGGATGAATCCACCACACAGGATTCTGTCCATCAGCAGTGACCTACACACACGATATGGTAAAATCCTTGTCACGGCCAACATACATGACTTCTCTTTTTTTGGAGAAGGGGAACAGGCAATAGGACATGCTGACAGGGTTGGGTAGGCATGGGCTTCCCAGGCAGGTAAACTGTGTCCCATGGAGTTGATGGGGGGACCTCAAAGCAAGACAGCTGTAGGCTGCCTGGCAGGAAGACCATGCGCGGTACCTGAGATTGACTGATAAAGGATTTAAACTGTGTATAGAGAGATTCCTTTACGGAATAACAGAATCCATGAAGTATCTAAGAAAGATAAGCCAAAGACAGAGATCTGAAAGAGAGAATTCAATTGATATTTTACCTTTTCACCTTTATCTCCTTTCTGGCCTGGCAAACCAGCTACTCCTGGTAATCCTGCTTCTCCCTGATTTTAAAAGAAATCAAAAATCAACAAAGCAGCACATCCAAAATATGTATTTGGTTTAGTTTTCTTGTCTTTATCACAAAAGCCTAACAAAGTAAATGACTCAGAATAAATACAGCGCAACACCTAGGAGAAAGATTTTTTAAAAAGCATTATGTAGAAAATAATTTATTCTTAAGTAAAAACTTTTACACTAAATATAATGTCTAAATATAATTCTAATTTTACCATGGATCTTTTATTTTGGTGTGTATCCAAACAATAAAACCTTACACACCTCTGCAACTCTAACTTGAAATTAACTAAATCTAAACCATACTGTTTCTTACCTGGGAAATACAATCAATGTAAGTACATAACAACACTACAAACTTTTAAGATATTTTTCATGCATACAAAAAAGAACCTAACAACATTTTTCTGTTTTAATAACTAGCAGGATTAAACAGCATGATGCACTAAAAAGTAATACAAAACCCTCATACTTTATTTGGAAAGCAGTGGCATCTCTCTCTAGATTCTTGCTGCATTCCTGGAAGCGTGTATATTTTGCTGGCATGAACAGTTGCTGGTGATGAAGTCGTAGCAAGCAACCTCTCCTCACGTGGACACTGAAATAAAAAGATTTTCTGATTTTTGGTCCACTTTGATTAACAGATAAATACCATACAAACACTACTTTTAAGTTACTTTCTGTTTTAATACTCCTGGAAACACCATATTACAGAGAAGTCACAATTGCCTAAGGAAGCAACAAGCTGCAGTAAAATTAAGTCTATACATTGTGATACTTCTGTACTAAAAATTAATGCCACTTAAAACTGATCTGACTGTCCCACTTGTTTCTTCCAAAAGAGCCCAGACAGAGGAATGAGATCTCCCAAAATTGGAAGTAGTGAAGCAGAAAATCCCCATGGGAAAAACAGGAGGGTATTTCTCAGTCTCATCCTGTCCTCCATCCCCTGCCCTGAAATGCAAAATGTCAGAGTGCGTGTGGTGGAAAAATCTGTCTTTTTTTTTGTAATGAAATACTTTGGGCATGCACAGGTTGGAGACAAACAAAAAGCCCTGAAGTCAGTATTCACCTGTCCGTAACTCGTGCGAGCTGAGCCAACCTGAAGATATACTACAGGACAAGTCAACAGAACCTGATAAATTTCAGAAGCTCTCACTAAGACGTAATGAGGTCTCCTGCAAGCCTTCTGTCAAAGAAATTCCCACAGGATTTACAGCTTAGTGTAGAAATTTGTATCCAAGGATAAATTCCTTTTCTTAAATTACTGAAAACATAGCCCTTATTGGTAAGGAAGTCATGAAAAAATACATCAGAAAATGTAATGCTGGTTTCAATATGAAAGTCATTAAGAAGCAGCCAATTTTTTACATCTTGAACATAAGGCATACAAAGGAAACTGATGGTGCTTTCAGCCATATCGCTGAATGATGTTTAAAATGCTATTAATAAAGCATATCCTTGATCTTTTTGTGTTCACATACAATTAAGGTTTGTTTTGTTTTTACTTTTTTGCTAGTGTGTCGTAACTCCTAAATAAATTGTATTTCCATGCACAAAGTGGAACCTACAGAAAAAAATCAATTCATTTCACTTATCCATGAGTTCACACATTCAAGAGAAGGCCTGAACCATTATCAAGAATATATTTTGAAATAGATTTGAACAATAAATTATTATTTACATTTAAAAATTCCCTTTATAAATTAGATCCAACCTCTCCCACACACCTATCTGTTGTCAGTTCCCACAAAGTCTTCTGCTCCTCTGTTCTTGGGCAGTTTTATCCCGCCATTCCAGGTAATCTTTTCTCCCATCTCTTTGTAGATGGATCAATCAGTCCTGCATGCTCCCGAGTGTTTTTGCTAACTGCAAGCTGGGCAGTGATGGTACTGCCTGCTATCTCAGAGGAGACTGCTCTTACAGACTATTCCCAACTGGCAGACCAATATTTTAACATATTTTCTTTCTCAGGATTTTTGTTTATTTATGTTTTTATTTATTTATTCTCCAAATGGGCTTGACTCAGAAAAACAATCACATCTGCAACTTCTAGCATTTCTATGGGTCTAGTTCTTCCAGACACTTCCACTGTCATGCAGACTCTTTCATGGGCTTTGTTTATCATCTGTAATGCTTCACTAAATGCAACTGTTATCAAAATGGCCTCTGTTATTTGAAGCCATCCTCAAGTCATTGCAGTGATTTGCTTCCTACTCTCTGAGACCTGTTCAGTTACTAATTAGATATTAATTAATGTTAAAAAATGCATTTTAAAAGCACTAGCAGCACCTAGTGCCTTTTACTGAAGTTCCACTGTGTCATTTAGTTAGGCAGCAAGACAAAATGTACTGTGACATTTTATAGGCTGCCCAGGGAGGTGTTTGAGTCCCCATCCCTGGATGTGTTTAAGAAAAGGGTGGATGAACTGCTTAGGGATATGGTTTAATGGCGGATTAGGGATGGTTGGACTGGATGATCTCTAAGGTCTTTTCCAACCTAGAAATTCTATGAAATTCTATGTGACTCCAGATACAGGATTCATTTTAGGAGGTAATTAACACTTCTACAGAAATTTCTTTACAATTTTTTAGTAAAAAAAAAAATGAAGCAATTTCTTTTGTATTAACATATGCATTTTAACAAATAACTTACCAAGTCTGCAGATATTTCACAACACGTATCTTCTGTTGCAAGTTTTGGATTACAATAAACTGTTATGCGGTGAAGTTCGATCTATTAAGAAATACAAAAGAGACTAATATAAGATGCAAAAAATAATGTGTTACAGTATGCATTTTCTTGTCTTGGCATAATAAACTTTCTCCCTGAAACACTGCATATTTCTGAAATCCTGGAAAAAGAGACAAATCCAAAACAATTACACAGCTCTTTACTTAAGGAACAAATTATGCAGTCTATTACTTTGATGTAAATCACATTTTAGATTTAATTTACCTTCATGTAAGTTGCATCCCTCTGTACTGCTCTTGCTATACTACACAGGCATTTCAGCCCTCTAGACATGCTTTGTAAACCTTCTTTTCAGGAATGTAATTTTCTCCTGCAGCGAACTGGAGTAAAGATTTGATAAGCTCTATCTCACATACATCTTCTGTCACTTTGGACAGATCTTTGCCTGGACCTTGCCACTAAATCACCTGAAAAGCAAAAATCACAAATTCTGTACATAAAGCTTCTGTTTCAGAGATTTTGGGTGGACTGATGAGATGAACAGCATCTAATTTTAACTAGCTAATATTGCCCTTGTATGTCTCTTTCTGCACGTGTTTTGTGTCTTCTTATTCTCTCCCTCGCACTTGGTACTGAGAAGAGCGACTGCTGGTACAGGATCCATTCTGCTGCCTTCATCAGCTTTATGCCCATAATGTTTTCCTGCACATGTGGAAATCTCAGTTGACCACTTCAGAATTATCCAGTCCGTGCCATGTAACCAACACAAGATAAAAAGAACCTGTTCCTTCTGCTGCGTGCTAATTGGAAATGAGGAGAATGTATATACATTTAAAATAAAGTTGAGCTCAGTCTTAGAAAATAAAATGAAACATAAGCTTGGCCCCATGAAATAAGAGCTCTGATTTCAGGCCAAAGTGTTTCACGCCTCACAAGACTGATTCCTCCCACAACACTAGCTTGCCATTACAACGTGCTATTTTCATCTGGAACTGCACAGTGTACTTAATAAAGCTGAAACTTTCAGGTGGTCACTGTAAACACCAAGCCAGATGCTTTAAACCTGGTAACTGGATGTCAGTTTACTTAAAACAAACTAACATTTCCTGGAGCTTTCAAATGACTAGGTGTGAGGTCTCTGCGCGACGGAACAGAGGAGGAGCAACTCTGGGACAGAACACAGCCCAGAATATTACAGGGTTGCCTTGGGTAATTCTTGCACCAAAGGCTGCAGGAAACACACCTCCAGCCGCTTCCTAATCCCTCCCGCTTGGAGAAGGGAGCAACAACTATGAACAATGTCTGCCCCTATTTCTGCATAGCTAAATTACCCTGGAATGGGATACAATCTTGCTATAGAGGTAATCCTGAATTTTCTGTCTCCCCTTTATCACAGACAAACAAACTGTAACAGATAACTGATACAAATTATAAATAAATCTCATAAAAATTCAAAGAAAAAGATTATCACTGGAAGTTATCTCTAAATATAATAATAATATGTCTACTGTAACTATGTGGATCTTACTCCAAAGCAAATACAGAAAAATAGACTCCTGAAACCACAGCCGTTTTTGTAGTTACTTTGGTAACAGAAGGTTTGCCTTTGCAGAGGCTACAGCGCTGAATATTGTTTAAAGAAAAAGACTTAAGGATTTCAAATTAAGAATACACACTCAAAATCAATATCCAGTTTTGAACCTTTTATCTACGTAATTCTTTACAATGGTGTTAGTAAAAGCGTGGCTAAAACACGATTTCAAGTTATCTGGTTCTCCTTTCACACTACTCACATCTACAGGCTTATCATCCGCAGCACGAGAAGCAATCAGAGTCCTTCCCTGCAAGTCAATGGTGAATCTTTCATCAGTCTGCTTTCTCTCAATTAAATTGCAATCCAAATAGAGGGAAATTATCCTCGACTGCACGCTAATACCAAGCTTATGCCACTGCCGATCAAACAATGGATAAATTTCTCGACTCTTAAAAATGTAGTGCAGTATATTTCCCTGAGCAGATTTGGTCATATACTCCACAACCTTTTTTGTACCATCCAGAAGGACAGAGATCTGAAAGCAAAACAAAATAGAATAAGTGGTCACTTAAAAGTCAGAGTATAAGAATTAAACACATATATAAACTACATATAATAAAATTACTTTACATAAATTGGGCAAGAATTATGTCATGAAGCATTCTTCTATGCAACTTTGTAAACATATGTCAGCTATAAATCATAACACGCCTTCTTATCCTAGTTTGCAGTCTTAATTCAATATATTTTGTTAAATTTCTGTCATTCCTATGATAAATCACCAATTGTTTCAGAGAAGTTGTTGTAGTAGTCATTTTCTAGCTCAAATGGAATCCATTCCTTAACATTAGTAGCGAGACTTGTCAAAGCCTTAGGCCGCAAGCTGTGAACGTTCACCTAGACATGCTTTTGGCTGGGATAGAGTTAATTTTTCTCTTAGTAGCTGGTACAGTGCTGTGTTTTGGATTTAGTTTGAAAATAATGTTGATAACATGATGATGTTTTAGTTGTTGCTAAGTAGTGTTTATCCTAAGTCTAGGACTTCGCAGTTTCCCATGCGAAGATAAGGAGGCTACAACTGTCAGCAGAAGCTACAACTCAGCAAGATAAGAACAGTTAATGGCCTGCCTGGAGGCAGAGAAAGAATTCAATAAGGTGCTTGAAGACCCCAGACCAGAAATCACCATTGGACCAAAAGGGCGTGTGAACAGCGTGTGAAAGGACCAAAAAGGGCAGGTGTATAAATTGTAAGGGTACAACTGTCCAGGGATTTCTGCGCCTGGGGTCCCTCTCTGGAGGCACCCAGCTAGAGCTGTTGGGTTTTTTCCTTGGCTATACCATCTGAATTTTTTTTTTTTTTTTTTTTTTTTTTTTTTAAGATTTAATGCCTGAGACTTTGCTGCAGGAAACCAAATTCTAGCCTGAAGGAAGAGGAGAGCAAGAGTGTGTGTGAGCGAGCAGCCGCTCGCTGAGAAGAGACTCTGGCCCTAGCGCTTAAAGTCTTGGGTGGCGTGTGTGCAATTCCTTGAATGGGGTGTGAATGCTCAGGCAGCAGTCTCTCCTCTGACACAGTCTGTCTATTCCATATAAACTGTAGCTAAATCCAGTGGTGAAACATCCACTAAGTTCTACTGTACGGGGGGGGAAAAAAGGAAACTTAATGAAAAAAATAAATCAAAGACAACTCTAACCTCAGGTGTGTCATATTGATTTAAAACTTGCCATATATACCAACGCTCTTTCTTGGTATTTCGCCGTAGACGGAACGTAGCAACTAGAGAGTATTCTTCAGGAAGCCCATTTGGAAATACTTGCCTACAATAGTACAGAGGAAAAGAAGATTTCATGTTATTCTTATGCACACAAACACTGCTTAAAAGGAATTAATAGAAATAATACTCGGGGAAAACAAGGAGCCAAATGCTCGCTCACATTCATACAAATTCATGGACTTAAACAGTCAGAACTGCCTCTTCTCAAAAGTACAATTCAGTCCACTTATAAGAATAAAAGGCTGAAGATTTTGCTAATTAATTTTTTGTTCTAACTTTTTAAAAATGTTTGATTACTATAAATATGAGTCTTAAAAGAACTGCTGCAAGTTGAATGCCACACATAAACATATTTTAAAATACTGCTTTTCCCAATATACTGCTTAGGATACTGGAACAAGTTTCCCAGAGGATTTGTGGAATTATCCTCATCCTTGGAGACTTTCAAAACACAGCTGGACAGGGCTCATAATAACCTGATCTAACTTTCAAGTTGGTCTTGCTTTAAGCAGGGGCTTTGATCCAGTGACCTCCATGGGCAACGACTTGGACATCTTGAGTATCAGAACAGCTGGACTTCAGCAGCCTTGAACAAAAATAAGGAATGAATTTCTGAATGAATGACTTTATGGTGTTTGATTTTGTTACTCCTTTCTTATCAAAGATATGTCAACATCTCTAAAAAAAAAGTCTGACTTGCTACCTGTATCATAGAATGCAGTACACTGAAAAGTTTGTATTTCAGAAAAAATTAAATTAGCCTGTAACTCAACTCTACAGACCTTGGTAATCATTAAATATATACTATTTCTGTACTAAACAAATTAGGACTGCACAACCAACTTTTTCTTTTGAAATTTCTTCATTTCAAATTATTTCTTTTCTGAGACAGAGGTGAGATAAACGAAAACCACAAGTGCACACACTACACAACACATGAGTAGTGAAAGTGTTAATGTTGCTGTTTGCTGAAAACTGTCAGGATTGCCCAACTAACCAGGCTGCAAAAGGCATTCCCTGGATCACAGCAGAGGAAACCTGAGGGCCCCACACAGCAGAAAAATTTCCTCTGTTTTATTTCCCACGATCATGTGAAGTAAACGGTTTAGTTCTAAAAAACTGCAAATGGCATTATAATTACACAGTAATGTGCTATAAAGGCTTTATTAAAAAAACTAGCCAAAACAAAACAAAGTGGGGAAAAAAGACAAGAGGAAAGCACCAGCTGGCAAGACAATAACCCCACAGACCCTCCTAGAAATCAGTGCACTTCACCTAACTTCGGACCTGAGTGAAAATGCTTTCTGTG